TTTTTTTGGGGGGGGGGAATGGGAGCCACTGCCCCCCTCCCTCCCTTCCTTCTCCAGGCTCTCTGCACTTGCTCAGAGGCCGTCCTCAGGAGCCCTGGAGCCCGTTTTGGGGGGGGAGGTGGGAGACTCTGCCCCCCTTCCTCCCTCCCTCCCTTCCCCAGGCTCTCTGCACTTGCTCAGAGGCCGCCCCCCCAGGATCCCTGTAGCCCCCGATTTTTGGTGTGTGTGTGTGTGTGTGTGTGTGTGTGTGAACGAAGCCCCTTCCCCCCGTCTTCCAGGCCCCCCCTCTCCACCGAGCTCTGCCCCCCTACCCAGAAGACGAAGTTGAAGCCGAAGAGCAGGTATTTGATGCACTTGGTGCCTCCTTTGACCGGCATCGCGCCGGGCGAGCGAGCGGGCGAGCGGGCGGGCGGGCGAGGCGGCGGCGAGGAGGCAGGGGCGCTTCGCGGGGCGGCGGCGGCGGCTGCTTTGCTGCTCGGCGGGACGGCGGAGTTTGATCCGGTGCTTCTCCCTCGGTTTCTCTTTCTCTCTCTTTCTTTCTCTCTCTCTCTCTCTCTCTCTCTCTCTCTCTCTCTGTGTGTGTCTCTCTCTCTCTTTCTCTCTCTCTCTCTCTCTCTTTCTCTCCAGCCGCTCCTCCTCCCTTCCTGGAGTCGAGCCGCTTCTCCGACAGCCCAGCCCAGCCTCGCCCTCCCCTCCCCTCCCTTCCCTTCCTCCCCCCGGAGCGCTCCAGTCCTGCCCTGCCCTCCCCGCTCCCGCCCCCGCCGAGCCACTCCTTCTGCCCGGCCCGGGAAGGGAGCCAAGGACGGGCGGGATTCCCCCACCCACCAACCCACCCTTCGCCTGCCTGCCTGGTTCCGAAGGCAGAAAACCCCACTGGGCTCTTTTCAAGACGGGTGGGGGGGGAATAAAAACAATAGATTGGATGGGGCACCTAGAACCAAGTGCCACAGAGAAGGATTGTGGCAGTGAGGATGCTTGTAGAGTCTCTAGAGTCAGGGGTAGGCAACCTTGGCTCTTTGATGACTCGTGGACTTCAACTCCCAGAATTCCTGAGCCAGCACAGCCTACCCCTGGACTCTAGACCAACTTGGCAACTTTTGGTCTTCAATTCCCAGAATTCCCCAGCCAACGTGTTCGCTGGCTAGGGAATTCTGGGAGTTGAAGTCCACAGGTCTTAAAAGTTGCCAAAACTGGACAGTCCTGAGTCTAGACCCGGGGTAGGCAACCTTGGCTCTTTGATGACTCGTGGACTTCAACTCCCAGAATTCCTGGGCCAGCCACGCTGAGGGGAAAGGAAGAGGTTTCCAAGCTGAGCCATGCTGGCTCAGGAATTCTGGGGGTTGTAGTCCACCAGTCATGAAGGGGACATAGTTCCCCCATGCTGGCTCAGGAATTCTGGGGGTTGTAGTCCACGAGTCATAAAAGAGCCAAGGTTGCCTACCGCTGGTCTAGACTCTAGGCCTAGGGTAGGGGTCTTCAAACGTGGCCCTTTTAT